CCCGGCCCGCCCCGCTGCGCCGCGGGGGCCCGGGGACGTCTCGCTTCATCTGTCACCAGCTCTGTTCGCCTGCCCAGCTGTCAAAACAGGGGGTGTCTTTTTCATTCCAGCTCACAAAGTACCAAAGGGGAAAGGGGCTTTAATGCCTGTGTTTGGACACAAGCAATTATCCCTAATTATTGTTTTTCTTTTGAGCCTGCCCGTCCTGCTGGAGAGCCAGCAGATGAGCATGCCCTAATCCTCCCCAGTCGGTTGATCTCAGTGGGTTTTGCGGGACAAGCCGGGCGAGAAGGCTTCGTAGCTTTCATCTCGATGTGAGTTTTGAACTGATTGAAACTCATTGCGATGGAAGAATTAACCTCGGAGCCCAGGCTTTCAATGGCCCCTGATAAGAGATTATACGTGTTGATGGCAAGCTTTTCTTGGCAAAATGTTTTCAAAGGACTCGGAGCTGTTAAATCAAAGCCCTATTGAATTGCTGGTAGGCCCCTTAGAGCTCTCCCTCCTTCTACCTTCCCGGGTACTGTGTGTTGGTAATTACTGGCAGGGGTGGGAGAAGGAAAACATAAAATCCCCTCGGAGGTACACACACACATGCGCACAGAGGTGGTGAGCAACATCAGGCAGAGAAGCATGAGCAAGACAGAGGAAATTTTCTTAATTCCATGGAGGATAATTCCATAAACAGGCCAGTGCAAGACCCATCCTTTTCTGCTGCAGTCTCCTGTCGCATGTCTTCCCCTACATTTAGTAAGGCTGCAATAGCATTCCAAGGAATCATGCTTCCATGTTACTTCCTCAATAATTCATCCTCTTACATGAACGAAAAAGAAATAGGAAATAGGAAAGTGGCAGAAAAGCTAGAAGCTATGGCTATCTTTGAGCCACACGTATGTGTGGGTGTAAGAAAAGACAGGTAATATTTAAGAAAAGCAAAAATTATGATGAGTTCTTTTTAAAGGAGAGACGTTTATTCAAGTTTTCTTCTTCTTCACCTGTCCAAAGCATGTGTCCTGGACTCTGTAAGTACACATATTGTAAAGAATTACCATATTTATGAAATCTGGGTCATATTTTGTTGAATACTCTCCCTTCCCCTGCCTCCAGGATGGGAACTTTGAAAAAGCCTGCATGCAAAACTGATAGAGTCTGCTTCCACCACTCTTATGACTTAGGGAGTCTTTGTTTGGTGCACCCTAGATTTTGTAAATGAATGTGTGTTTGTTCAGAAGCAGTTCTGGGGTAACGGATGTGATTCTTTTTTTTAACAGTGGAAGACTAAGGTCTAACAGAAGAAAACCTTTGAGGAATTAGAGGCGGAGATAAGTATTTTCCATTGGAAAGCCAGACCGCTCCAAGATAAATGCTGACAAGTCACCTGCTGCAGGAAAGTGTTGAGCTGGAGAAAAAAATCTGCTGGCAGGCAAGAAGAGATGTTTGGATGGGCCAAATCTTGTTCACTTATTATGCGGGGCCATGGGACAGTGTTATTAAATTTATGTGCTGATAAATAAATACATAAATTAATAAATAAGTAAAATAATTTTAGGAGTCCTACTGACTGTAAAGTGTTTCCTTCTCCACTATGCTAGTCTGTAGTGGTAATGAAGGGGCAGTGGAAGCAGTGGCAATATGGAGATGACAAACAGCTTGATGGATAAGATATCTGGAAACTGCCTTAGAGAGAGGATATCAGCACAGCCAGAAGCTGGAGTGCTGTAAACCCAGACAGCAACCTATGGAGGTAGTAGAGCCAGCTGCCTCAGCTGATGCTCCTGCCAAAGGTGGAGGCCTAGGTTCCAAGCTATTCAAAGTGTGTGCTGCATGCTGGTAGTCATAGTTTTCAAAATTTACTGTTTATTGCATTTGCTCTTTCTCTCCAATAACACTCCTTATATTTAGAGCTCTGTGTTCAAAGTCTTTTCTTGTGAGAGAATATATTTGGGTTTAGAATGCTCTACTGAACACTGGTATGCCTTTTCTTCCCAGCTCCTGATCCAAGCTCTACCCATGGTAATTTACTGAACTGACCTTGAGATCAGCCTTTTGTAATGCCAAGGCACAAACATGCAGGGTTTTTTAGAAGCTTAAGCCATAATAGTTAAATATTATAACTAAACTGCAATTGCCTGTGCATAGGCAGTACAAATGCCAGAACAGTAACCTTTGCTTTTAGAGTAGCATTAAATTGCCGTAAAAATCCAAGTTGTTTGAGTTCCCTTCAGCTTGTATTTTGTCATGGAAATTTCTTGCCAGCAGATCTTTCAGTGAGCGTCTTGGTAGTAATTGCAAAATAGGCTTTTAAATTGAAAATTTGTGGGGTTTATTTGCTAGTTTGTTTGCTTTTGTCAAACAGCATCTTAACAAAAACTGGAATTACAAAATGGAAATTTTGGTTTTTTCGCTTCTTGCTGTTGACTGGGCTGGTGATTATTGTTGAGATTCTGGGAAGAATAATAAAAGCTTTACTGGTTTTGGTTTGATGCCTTCAGAGGCTACCTGGAGCAGAGGCTAGACAGTGTTAAAGGAATAAAGTAGGTATTTATTAAAAGGCCTTCAAAGGATACACCTTGGGCAGTACAAGCACCTGGATGTGGCTCTGCCCAAGCTGGACCCAAGAGAGACACAAGATGGATGACAGGTCACACTTTTTCACTCTTTTCTATGTTTTGGTCTACTTACATTTTGGGGTTAATTGTCCAGTTACAGCTTCAGGTTATGAATTCCCATCCTCTCATATTGCTCTCCTCAACTCATTGTTGTTTATACTTTTGGGGCCTGAAGCTGCAATGGTGTCTTTGATTCTCGGGCTGGAAAATGATTGTTTTCTCTAAACTGTGAAGGGAACTTCCTAACTTTTTATATGAAGTTCAGAGTTATGTACCAATGCAGTACAGAATCTGGAAAATATGAAAGCTTAAACTTCAGGCATCAGGGTGTTGGAGTGTTCTGCCAAGGGGTCCTAGAGAGCTCATAGGCTGTGCATGCATAGGTTGGATCTTAGAGCTGCAGAGTTTCTTCTTCTTTGGTGAAGTGCCCAAATCATCCCTACAACACTGCAAAGTTTGTTGGGAATAATGTACTTGCAGAGTTTATACTCTTCATAGAAGCAAGCAAGTGCAATGTGGATTTTACAGCAACCATAGGATGAAAGAAACTTGTAATAGAATAGAAGACAAACTTGTAACAGAATAGAGAGAGTAGATTAGCTGTGTGAGTATTTGACAATTCTGAAGAGACATCTGAGGCGAAGGCTGTTTCACTGCTACTTCAGAAATGCCTGCAAGTCCCAAATAGATAAAAACTTTGCCACTTAAAATAGCGTGTGTCCAGCTTGTTAAAGTTAAAGATTTGGGTTCAGCCCCAAAGACTTTAAAATTTTTATACTCAGTGAGAAGCAGCTCTTGGATCCAACAAGCAGATGGTGGTAATGTGGTGTAACAACACCCTTATTAGCAGCTGCAGCAAACCAGCTCACAGACCAGTGACCCAGACAGATGTAGTCTCTGTCGCCAAAGGAGAAAGACCGACAGCACCTCATGCAGTAACAGAGCCTCTGAGTTTCTTGGGATCAGGGCTGGTTGTTTCCATGGACTTGACATATTGGAAGAGTTTTGGCTCTAACAGCCTCTGACCAAATTCTTGATATAAAAATATGTAACTTTACCATTTGTAGTTCTCCATCCCATTCATCATTCATGCCAAGACTTAGAGTGTCTCAGCTGTCAGACTGTGGACTTAGCAAAAGAGTGCTTGCTCCCTAGAGCAAGGAGGCCCTATTAGTATGTTATATTGAGATATTTCATGGACAAACTCCACATGTTGCAGTACCACTACTGATCACATAGACTGATTAACCAACCCAGAGAGAGTGTTGCTATAACTACATTCATCTGCTCGTAGAGATTTGCCATCTAATCGCATACAAACAGCTACACAGTGCAGTCCCCTCAACCACATTTCTGTTTGTTATAACTCAATAAATGCTCCATTCTTCAAAGCAGCAGCTAGACCATTTACAATTGAGCTTCAGTTGTTGCTCAGCAGGAACAAAGGGGAGATCTTATGTGAAAGTACTGTGTAGGTCAAATATCACTGTCCTTATTCTTTCTACATGCTACTTTCTTGTGAATATTTCTATCGATGTCTGTAATTGTTTTCAACATTTATTATCATTGAAGGACAAAAATTTGTGGGAATATTTACCACACACCCTGTGCCAAGTATTCAATATATGGTATTACAGAGACAGAGAGCAGTGTTTGTAGCTGGAATCTAGCTGCCAAATATTAAATAATTTTGAGATCAAATTGAATCCTGATTTTCAACTTCCACTTGTGTTGTAAAAATAAGGGGATTTTAAAGAAAAAGAGAAAAGTTTTCCTTATTGAGCAAAAATTTGCCAGCGTACGTTTTTCTGTATATCTTGATATAATGTAGCAGGATTTTGAAAAAAAATGAGCCCAAGGACATTTGAAAGCACAAAAGAAATCTTTATGGCTTATGAGATCCTAAAGAAAAAATATTCTAGCTGTAGCAGGTGCCACAAACCACAGAGGAGAAACTACAAAGAATAATTATATGCAAATGTGGCAAGGGAAAGAAATGCTAGCCAGTAAAATGTCATCAAATTAAAACATTAGAATGGTAAGGTAAGACACACTATAACAGGCTCAGACATTACTCAGTTGTTAAGAGATGCTTTGCTGGCATGTTATTCTGGCGTGTTCATTCTGGCACACTATCCACAATATATATGTCTAAAATGCAGAGTAATATGTAAAATACCTGGTATTCTTCACGGAGAAAAAAGCTTGGATTAACTCACTTTTTAAATTTTTAACTTTTTAACTCACTTAACTCACTTTTGCTATTGTGCTTTCTATAAGCATATCAGAAGGGAATCTTAGTACAGAAAACTTTGCTTAATGTCCCTTACATATAGGTTAGTAAATCCATTATATTATTTAAATTATTATGTTTACAAAATATTTCATTTGTTATTCCACTGTTGTTCTGTTTGAAATAGTACATTTTTAAAATAAGTAACTACGTATTTTGAAAAATAAAATTTCCTTCCCTTGCACATTCTTAAAGACTACTGGCCATTTCCCAGTACAAAGCTATAGATCTTGGGCAAAGCCTGCCTTTTACCCCAAAAGCAATACTATAGCTTGCCTGTGCAGATTCCCCAGACACTCCTGTATGTTCAGCTGAACAATTCACATCCACTCACAGCCTTCATTTCAACTGCAAACCTACTGTCTCTACTGGCCATACACAAACGGACATAGGTGTGATTAGGGACACGGGTTTAAAGGATTTATTTAAAGTTTTGAGCAGTTTGTCACATTGAGGGCTTCAGTTTGTTTAGAGATTCATTTACCTGTTCAGTGACTCACAGAGAGAAAAACCCTTTTATTTTTTAAAGCTTGGGCAGATGACAGGCACCTTCAGATTAAACACTGTAGGAGACATTTTTACTCTTTTTTTGTTTGGCTGTTTTTTTCTGGTTGTTGTGGTTTTGGTTTGATCTTGGTTTTGTTTGCTTTGGTTGTTTTTATTTGAGGTTTCTTTGGGTGTCATAACTGTTGTCTTTTTCTGCATCCTGACTCTTTTTTTCTGTTCTTTTGTTTTGATGGCACAACTTTTTCTCCTCTCAAAACACATCCTCAAAACACACCTCTGTAAATTTCCCTGGGCAGATGTGAGAGCAGAATGGGATGCAAGCTTTGGTGACTTGAGACAGGAGCGGCAGCAAGGGCTGAGTCTTTGGCTGAGTGACAGCAAGTGCTGCTGAAATTCACAGTCTGATGTAACTATCAGGGTTAGGCAAAGGAATGCATGCAAATATCCTTGTGCACCTTTGAAACCAGGACAATGTCTTCATGAGGGCTTCCATACCCACAGAAATGAGAATTTAGAAACACTGGAAGGAATCATTGACATCAAGCTCTTTCTGATTATATCTCTTGAAAAAACACCAAGAGACCTTGGAAATTGAGACTATATAGCAGGGTGACCAATCTGTGTGTCACAAACTGTATAATCTAAGCAGCAAGTGCAGCTCCTCTGCCTGATGATTTGTGTCTGGCTGTGGTCAAATTCCCCATGAAATACAAGACAATAAACTTTGGAGATCCTAGAGACACCAGATTTATCTTGTGACGTAGCTTCAAATGCTGCCCAGACATGTCTCCTAGTGGAGCAGCAGGTACCTCAGCTGGCCTTTGTCATATCTCAAGTGCTGTTTCCCTCTTTTCAGAACTGTGTGATGCATGTCTTTCATTTCTCAGTCCCTGAAGATTCTGTCATACAGTTTGTGTTGTATGAGATGGTGCTCATGCCTGGCTTAAGGCTCAGAGCTTGGAAGCTTTGACATAAACATGGCAGTCTGAAGTCCCTGAAGAAAAGCAAGGGATGGATAAGCTCCCTGACAATTTACCCTGATGAATTCCCTCTGAATCTGAAATGGTGTCAGAAAATCAAAATCTAACAGCAAGCAGGAAAAAGGAAAAGGATATTCCCTGTACTACTTTAAGAGTGCCAGTCCAGACTTTCCTCCAGCCTCTACATATGACCAGTCTTAGAGTCAAGAGGAAAAGACAACCCTCCTAATTAGAGTAAATATGCTGCAGCATGTGCTAGAGGGAAAAAATACCTTTTGTTCCCTTTGTAAACTCCTATCTGAAGCCATAACACAACATGCTTTTCTTTTATCGACTTTGGGCAAATCTTTTCAATAAACTGTGCACATGAGATACTTTCAGTTGAAACATTGAATACATGACTAAAGAATAAAGGCATAATTAGAAAGAAATACTTCAATACTTAAATTCTAACTATGATGCATATCTGTCTTTTATGTATGTCATTTCTTTGGGCTTGTGTGGCAAGTTTTCA